TTCCGCCGGCGAACCACTCGGCCAATCGTCGTGAGATCTTATCATCGGGCTTGATCACATATTCTGGTATCTCGAGGTTGCCGTTCCGCCACCCTCGCGTGACCTTAGTGATGCTACCTTTTTTTGATCGTTCCTCAAATCTCTTGAAGCCGGTAAGGGAAATGGGACGATAGCCTGAGAGGCTTTCATAGCGCAAGAAGACTGAGGGATGAATCTCCTCTTTGGTCTCACTCATGTCCTTGTCGGCGTTGTCTTCCTTATATCGTCCAGGAGTACGATACTTTGACCCTGACATCTTCATCATGCCAGTGAAGCTGTCAACAATTGTGCCCAAAGCCCATCCATCCTCGGCAACTCCTTTCTTGGAAGCCTTATAAACCCCAGTGAAGTCCAGAACCTTCCAAAAAGGCTGGGTAACCCAATTGGACCCGTAATCTTTGCCACTTCTGAGGTCTTGGATCATTCTCTTTCGCTGCTCAACTTCACGATCGGCCAGGGTAGAGAGTGTATTGTACACTTCGTCATCGTCGAGTTGAAGATAAGGCTTGATTTGGTCACACATCCAAGCGAAGGATATGAGAGCAAGTTCTGCATATGTTAATGACCGCGCAACTACTTTCGAGAGAAGATGAGGCTTACGTTCGAAGTCGGACTCATCACCAGCCAGGATGTTCGGATTACCACCCCCAACGTTGATGTGGACCCCGGGGAACCAAACTTGGATGAGCTCTGAGCTGCTTCCCTTCAACTCATCGTAAACCGCGCGAGCTATGAAGTCTTTCCATGCCTTCGACTTCTCAGCCTCATCAGCCCCCTTTTTCAGAACCCTGACGAATCCTTCCTTTAGCTCCATTATATCTTGGTCGGGTTCCTGGAGGTCAGCCTGGTTCTGTGGAGAGCGGTGCCAAAGGGTTGGGGAAAACGGTTTGCGGTGCTCATCGATAGCCATCGCATGGAACGCATGTTTGATGACTGGATTCAAATTAGCACAATTTCCACATCGCGCACGATCTTCCTACATCCTCCCTTTGGAGTTGGATTGATAGGAGAAGCATGCAGAGTTAGGTGAAGGAGAAAAAGGTCAAAGAGACAGTGAGTGATTGCAAAATCTTACATGGGCTCAAACATGGATTGTGAAATCCTCCGTCGTCAAAGCCCAAGAAAGGCGCAAGTTGTCGAAGTAGCTGCTTCCCCCACTGCGTGTAAGTGATGTCGGGTATACCCAAGCTCCCCACCGTGTCGAAGACCCCGACAACCTGAACGACCCTGGTCCTCTCGGCAGGAATCCTGTGCGGAAGTACATCCCAGTAGGCATTGTTGTATTCGTATTTCCAAGAATCACCATCCTTTGCTGGAACTCCGGTTATCCACTGGCGATACTCTCGAGACTGGCGGAAGTTATAGCTGTCATGGTGTTTTCGGTATAGGGCGTAGAGCTCTGGAAAATCTTGCATCTCCTGAGGCTGAATGATGCCAATGTCGGTGATGAGGCCAGCCACAGAACGAGCCGTGTATGCCCCCCGAGAGAATCCAAAGCAGAATATCTCGTCTTCGGGGGCATAATTGTTGACAATGAAGTTGTACGCTTCAACAACGTCACCAGAGAGACCAACGCCGAAGCCCCCTTGCCGTTCTTTCTCCAAGAAGCTCAGGTCTCCAGTGCCAATTCCAGAGCTGTAATATACGAGCTGTTGGAAGATTCTACCATCTGGGCCTTCGCCAGTTCTGGATATGGAACGGGCCAGTCGGGTCACGTTGGAAGGAATGTTCTTCTCTCCAGTCGTAGATGATTGCCAAGTTCCATCGCAGCAGATGACAATCCGCTTAGGAGCAACATTAGGCAGGATTTTGACTGGGGCTGATTCAGCGATGTGAGTTGCGGTTTGATATGAATAGGCGACTGGTTCTTCTACCGAGCAGATTTCAACAGTATCAGAGCTCTCAAAATATGCTGGTGCTGGTGCAGAAGTGGTGGCTTTTACAGGCGTAGGTTCGACGAACGACTCCCAAAACCCGTATGGGTCGGTATCGGTGGCGAACGACATGCTTAAGGAACAAAACCGAGGCCTATGGGATCGAAGAGAATACTGTCTGAAAGAAAGCCCGAGGTTATCAAGCTGAAGGACCAAAAAGCCAGGACTTTATAGGAGCACGTAAACACACGTAGCTCGACTAGCTGACGTGAGACATAACCACATGATTTCTTGTATTAATGAAGTGTAAATTGAATGTTTCGGTATTTCCACCGGCAACAAGTATTCCGACATGTTCACGACGCGAAGGCTGAGACCTTCGACCCAATTGGAGGAGTTCCCGATGTCGGTCATGCCGCAGATACCAATTGAAGCGCGCCACGAGGAATGCGTCAGATACAGCCCAGGTTGAAAGGGAAAGATCGCTTCGACCTGGCGTTTGTAGTCCAGCTGAAATTCTAATCTGCATATGAATTGATCGAAAACACTTCGACCCCAACAACAGGAAAGCAGGATGACTCGCTTGAGAACGGACATGATTTCATCGATTAACTTGAGTTGGAGGTCAAGAATCGCATTAGAATGTTGTATTTGTATGTTGAAATATGCTCTTTCCAAGCTATGCCATGATGTAAACAGATAGTTCCATGCCAAAGAAGTCAGGTGGTATCTCATGCGAAGCCCTTCACATCATGTAATCATCCCGGGAGTTCTGCTATGGGGCTCGGCGACCTCTTTCCTTTCCCCGCCTTGCTAACGCTTAGCGATTTTCCAAGTGAATAAGCCTGACCTTGATCGTGGACCTTGCTTCCATATCCATCCAGTCCATCTACCGTGGAGCCTCTCGGGGTCGCGTCGAGCTCCATTCTGTCAGACCACTGATGCGTGTTCGAGTCCAGTTCCGAAACAGCAGTCCCCGGTGTCATTGGACTGCGGCCCCAGCCATTCCCGCCTTCTGACTTTGTGTTGTCCAGCTCAGCCATATCGCCCCTCTGCCATTTCCGCCGGGCGAAGAACAGGTAAATAAGCACTGCGAGAAGAACGGTGCAACCTAATCCGACGCCAACGCCGATGCCAACTTTGGATCCTGCCGTCATGGTTGTTCCGTCATCTTCTTCGTTCGTATTTGTAGCTGTCGGCTGTGATGCTGAGCTCGTGCTTGTTATTGAAGCGGTTGTTTGAGTAGCTGTGCCCGTCGGTGTCGTGTTGGGTTGTGTTGGAAGTGGAACGTGACCAGGTTGCCAGATGACGCTCCCTCCCAGGGCAGTAGGAAGCTGGACGACATTTTCGAGAATCGATGAATCAGTGAACGCGACTGTTCGTGATGTTTGTGGGCACCAGCATGCGTCTGCTGATGTGAGTGTCGTCGGTCGTGCCTTTTGCTCGCAGGCTACCCATTGCTCCGATGTGCCGTTGCAGTACACGAGTCCTGCCCAAGGTTGACCTGAATTTGGCACATCGTCAGTCACCCGTCAATCCCAAGACGGACCTCCAACGATTGACTTACTGCTCAAGGCACCCTTGTCTGGGCAACTCGCATCCTTGTACTCTGGATCGCTGCAGCCGCCGAGATAAGTAACGCCGAATCGTGCATTGTAGCAAGCCCGGCTTGATAAGCACATATCAGATCGTTGGCAACATGTGAATTGGCCAAAGGCAGTGTTGCCGCACGGCAGCCATTCGTCCACCTTCTTGCCGGACGCATGGTAGCATGTGCCGTTAGAGATGAAGGCGTTCAGCTCGGTCATGGTCGCTTGTGGTCCATCGAAATGTCGTCGGTTTTGAGGGTTGCTGAGTGAAGCGAATTGTGCGGTGTAGTATTTGCGATGAGATTTGGTAACGTCAAGCTACCACTGTTGAACGAGTGACATCAGGGAGAGGTTGGTAGATGTGAAGGAGGGGCGGAGAATCGCAGGCGGGATGCACTGGTTAAAGTGCTATCCCTTGCAACGAACCAGAGAAGCGCGGGCCAAATGATGTCTGAGGTCGTTTGCAAGGGGACATCGCCAAGTCGCCGGTGCGAGCCACATTGGCACCCGCATCCGATCTCGAAAAGTGAAATTGTCTGCATCAGACCGATGCGGAACTGATTCGCGTGGTATTCCTTTCGTCTGGGGGGTCGTCACGTTACAATCCCAGAATACGAGCTTGGCTGGGAGTAACCAGCGTCTTAGTCCCAAGGCGATTTCTACATTCCGACAAGTGGCATCCTTTCGCATTCCAACCATGATGTCACCTTTGTTTGCGATGGAGGGAACAACTTGGAACTTCGCTCCTTTGCCATCAAATTGACGGTCAGTGATATTTCTGGCAGAGTAAACGGCCCGTTTCTCGTGTTTGCTGCGTGCGGGTACATGCTGATCTACCCTGCAGCTATTCTGGCCTTTGTACGTGCTTCGCCTCGCGAGTTGGTCGTTGTTTGTTCCTGTGGCTGGGGTCGATGCTGTTCAATGGAAGCCAAATATTGTCCGCAGCTAAGCGACACGAATCAGACGAGACCTTGTCCGACGTGTCTTACAAGTTTACGTCTTTGATAGAATGTGACGGTTCCCCTGCCACGCCATTGCCGCAGTGGCTTGGTAAACACGGACGTAGCGAGACATTTTGCAACGACAGCGACTTTCTGACACTGAGGGAGACCGAGGGGCAAAGCTCCCTCATTTGGGCTAGGCCTCATGACTAGCGAGGAGCCACAAAGTTTCTGCTTTCAATATCAGCGACGGTGAGTATCATTCAACATTATCTACTCGGTGTTCTGGTTGCATGCAGATATTCAGAGACACGATTTTCGCGTGGGTGTCGACCTGGTTCCGGCGAAGCAAATTCCATCGCCCGTTGTGATGTGGAGCCGGCCATTTTTCGGGACCCAGGCTATCCACTGTTCGCCAGACATGCATGACCACATGGTATTGCAGGGGTTCCAACGCTCACTCTTGCTACCTATTGATTGACAACAAAGCATCATGCAATATGCATTCTTTTCATGCCACGCGGCTCTTCTGGCAACGAGCCAAGCCGTTACCATCACTAGTTGAAGCCCTCGGGCCAGAAATCCTCGAGCCACTCATAAGGTTCTTCAGGCTCGTAAGCATTCAAGATCTCTCCATCATAATCCGTGATCGCGTCTCTGGTCTCATTATACAAGGCGTACTTGAGGTCTGGACCATTGCCGATTGTATAAGGAACTGTCTGGACATTGTTGGCAATTTCCTTGTCCACGATGACTTCCAAGTCTTGAAGCTGTGCATTCTTGAGACGGAACTCATCGCCGTAATTTGGATTGATCTTTGGTTTTGTTAGAAAGAAACTTTCATATGGCAATGACTCAGAATTTCCACGGAATACGTACAATGCCCATCCTGATGCCATTCACGGCGACGACGTTTTGGATTGTCGCGTTTCTCTTTGCTTGATTCAGACAGTTGCCGCAGGACTGGTAGAAAGTCTGACAAGAGGCATCATCAGTAAAGTCACGCTAGTATCACAGTCGATTTACTCACCCCAAAACTCTCAGCGTAGAAGCCGGTGATGTTGTACTTGCCACCCAGGGAGTTGTCTTTTGTTTGTTAGGTTAGGTCTGGCCCCTGGAATAATATCGAAGCTGACTTGCCTTGGAAGATCTGGAAGAACAGGGTGTCAGCGAGCGGCCCGTAAAACGAAGACAAAGAAGGCTTTTCGAATAACCCAATGAGAATTCCTACCTTATCTGTTGCGTTCCGAGCTCCACCGCCGATGACTCTCAGTTGTGTGTTAAGGCCCTTGGATGTAAGTGCATCTTCGCAGACGTCTTCCCACCAAACTATAGACATGTCAGATGAATTCAATGCGCCACATTTGTGTCATACCGTTCTCAACCCAAGCGTCACCCAGTGCATGGATGCCTTCAGCCTGATGCTTGCCGATGATGACGTTTCGAATGGTCGAGCCAGGCAGGAGGTTGAAAACAGCATCGGCATCGGTGCCCTCTGGAAGACACAGTATTCGTTAGCCTAGTTTTGACCCTTGTCAGGTGTTCATGTTGACTTGCCTGCTTGTTCGTTACAGCTGCCCTCAACACGCTCATATCGCTTCATACCACCGTCAAACACCTGACCGGGAAGAATGTACATTGTCTGTTCTAGGACAACTGTCTCCTTGGCTACAGGGAACTTGGTGACTGGGAATGGAAAACGCGGAGGAGGGCGTTCACCCAGGTCGCCCTGGGTGTTGTCGGCTGAGCCACCAGGTCCGTCCCCGGTTTGGCGTCGGTCAATGACCCCAGCCTGCACCAAAGCAGGCAAAAGTGAGAAGAGGGAGGTAGAAGCAATCTTCATTTCGAGGGTTCCTCAGTGTGGTGTCTGGGCTGGATATAGACGCTGGTTAAAGAAACCGCAGAAAGATGTTCGGGGTCAATTGGTACTTCTGAACAACATTGACAATGGCTCAGACGCTCCATGGCCATGGAAAGATTCGGCCTTTATATACTTGTAGACAGCATGAGTTGATCATGCAAGCATCTGTGGGCGTTGAGCTCGCGAAGCTATGTCATTTCTTGATTACGTAGCTAACGAAGCTCTCCAAATGGCGCTCAGGGTTTGACTGCTAGCTACACAGGGCTAAATAGCTGTAAGCATGCAGCGGAAAATTGAGTTTCTGGTTTCCGTGAATCAATGGTCGTGGATGAGCATGCAAGTCCCTTGGCAAGTGCTTGGCGCTGTCGCTCAAGGCCCAGCCCACGCTGTTGGCCGAGTACACAACTTGCACATCTATCCCGACAGAGCGGCTCGACCCCAGGTTTGCACTGCATCGGCCGCGTTTGAAAAGATGAGAGAGGTGGAAATTTCCCCAGATGGCGAGAGCTTGGCTGGAGTGATGCCAAGGATTGTAGGATGGGGTTGGACAAATGAAGTGCTGTTGCCTATGGTGTTCTTCTTGAGATATTTGACCGGAAGAGATTGTGGCACTCGGAAATAGACAATGCGTGCGGGGAACAGAGAAAGCAAACATCGAACGCTGGGGATAGGGGAGGATGCCCTTCGTCAAAATCGCGACCGAGAAACACAGCCGCTAGGATCTGTACCTAGGAGGATAGTATAGCCCTACCCTTGGGATTTGATCCCAGGTGAGATGATGTCCATCGATATCGTAGCGATTGTCGACTAGCTCCTCCATTCTAGCCATCCTTCTGTAGCTCTTTTACCGCCAAGAGTAACGCGGTCCAGCACTTGGTTCAACCACTCCGCGACATCCGTATAGCCAGCAATAGTAGCCTCATCGGCGGCCGTGTGCCCAGCAGCGTTCTTCCTGGCAAGAAGAACAGTAGCCACCATGTAGTCAGGCACCCACAGAGGGTCGACATCGGTTTCGAACTCGGGTAGATCGTGGTCAATGGGGGCGTAGACTTCAGAGCCGGGCGTGTCAGGGACTTTGTCCCAGTCTATGACCTGCCAGAAGTTTTGCCAGGCCGCATTGATGATGTCAAGATGGCCCATGCGGGCTGCGACGTGGAAGATGGTATCTCCGGCCTTGTTGCGAAGCAAGAAGATGGCTCTGAAGCATGTCATGAACCAGCTGTTGCGACTCCATTCCCCCCAAAGCTTTGTGCAGTGGCATCAAAGGCTTTGATATTTCCAACAGCGGCTGCGACGTGCATGGCGGTATCACCTGTGTCGGGATCGGTGACACAGCGCATCAAGTCCTCGAAGTTGAAGTCGTGGGAAAGGTTATCAATGTAATAGGACGCGAGGGGAATATCCCGCCCATTTTCCGTACGGAAAAGGTCAAGGAACCCACGCGAAGCGTCGGGATCAATTCCCTCTGTGGGAGGGGAAGTAATGAATCCCATGTCCTCGTCTGGATTTGTCTCGATTGGTTCAGACATGGTTCTTGTTGTCCTAGTTATGGTGCAGATGGGGAGGAATGAAGAGAGAAAAACGTCATGGAAAGGGCAGAATTGTATTGCAGTTTAAGGGAGCAGGTGTTCGTTTGAGGTTCACATTGTTACGCGAGAGGCAAAAGCGATCATGTGACTGATATACGGCGCAGAAAGTAGGCATCAGTGACGGCTTATTGACTAAAAGATACGCGGGCTGAATAAAAACACCGAGGTATGTCAATTTTATATGTCATCCATGAATCACAGATGATTCCTTCCCTGTGGCTCGTGGGAACACGCACTTCACTGCACTTGGAAGTCGGCAGGCTAAAGGTTTGTTCATAAATTGAACTAAAAGCAAGAGATAGCTATAATTTCCAATAAGGTCTTGCGTCTATTGCAAGACCGTTCCAGCGACTCAATGACCAGTCTTCCCCTTGACACTCCTCCACTCTATACCCAAAGAAGGCAGAACAGCAAAGCATGCTACCGCCAGCCCAACATAGAAGTAGTTTCTGAGCGCTGCGGTATATTCAACAAGGACAGCTTCCAGAACCTCCGTGGGGATGATATTCCGCAAATGTGTGACACCCTGACCAGCAAGTCTGGAAACATCCAAGTCAGGAAACTGGCTGAGTCGAGAAGTTAATGACTCATTGAAGACAGCCTGACCAACGCACACCAGTACCGAGCCACCTAGTGACTGAGCGAAGAACATCAGCGAAACGCCTGTGGGCACGTCCTTCTGCTCCAGTGAGACTTGTGCCCCAAGACTTGCGAGTTGCATACCCTGGCCAATACCGAGACCAAGAATGATCTGGTATCCAATCCAGGTGTGCGTTGGTGTGTGAACACCAAATGTTGAGATTAGTCCTCCGCCTACAGACATAAAGATGACCGAGGAGAAGAACACGGGGTTGAACCATCCAATTCCGTTGATCATGGCACCGGATACCATTGCCCCGAATACGAGAGCAAGGACGAGAGGAAGGGTGTCAATGCCAGAGGTGACGGCGTCGGTGCCTCTGATGCCCTGGAACCATATCGGCAAAGCGACCAAGAAAACAACGAGGACAGCTCCGAGGCAAAATGAGAAAACTGCTCCGAGCCAGATGTTGCGGACCGCGAATAGACGAGGCGGCACTGTGGCATTCTCCCGCTGCCAGATCTGAATACTGACGAATATTATGAGGAGAACACCAGCAAGAACCAAGAGAGCGATGATGCGTCCGCTGTTCCAGGGGTATTTTTCTCCGCCCCATTGTAGTGCGAGAATCAAACAAATGACGCCAGGCAAGAAGACAAGATTTCCAAGGGGATCAAATTGCCTGATTTGTTGCTTGAGCGGAGTTGACTCTTTTGGAGAAAGTTTCGGGAAGAGAGCAATGAGGGCAGCAACTGCGACGCCTCCAACAGGGAGACTATCATGAAACTATTAGCAATTGACCAGGTTGATGTAATAGAGAGGGGTTACCATACTTGATTAGGAAGCACCATTTCCAAGTTACACGATCAGTAAAGGCACCTCCAATGAGAGGTGCAATGACTGATGCGATGCCAAAAACACCGCCCATCATACCAACATACCCAGCTCGCTTGTGCAAAGGAGTGACACTCGTAATGAGAATAGTGCTTCCGGAGTAGATGCCTGCTGAGCCCGCACCAGCGATGGCACGGCCGATGATGAAGACGACTGAGTTGGGGGCGACACCGCAGAGGAGCGAGCCCAGTTCGAAAAGAAAGATTGCGATGAGATAAATTGCTGTCGTTGAGCAGAAGGTGAAGATACGGCCCCAAAGGAGTTGCGTAGCGCAGCTAGTAATCAGATATGCGCTAGCATACCAGCTGACATCGTTCAGTGAATGGAAATCATCCGTAATGCGAGGAATCGCCGTGGTGATGATGGTTCTGTCCAAGGCAACAAGGAACATGGCGATCATGTTGGAAAGGATGATGACGGCTAGTTTCAGCCCTTGAGGGTATTGAGACTCGTCATTTCCTTCCTCATTCGCTTCAGATGAAGGTTTCGTAGCAAACTTGTCATCTGGGAAACTGCTTCCCTCCTGGTCATGAATGTCCGACATGATTCGAGGTATCGAGCAGGGCTGTTAAGTACTAAGAGAGGAGAAGATGAGTAGATTGTTCTGTTTGTACGTTGATGCGTTGAAATGGTTGATGGATTGAGTATTTCTTCAGATGATTTTGTAGCATATTTATTGAATGCCATCCTGCTTAACATGATCGAGGAATCTTGCAAAACGGAGCCGATGAAGACTTGACCGTCATCGCGGAACGGGACTCGGCGCCGGGCACGCAAAATTTAAGATGTGGGGCCGATTGAGCGGTCCCGCGCTGAAGGGACCGACACGGTCTTGCGTCCATCAATTCTGGCTCGGAGGATGAAAACAACAAGCCACCGAGGGGCGTAGCACGCGTGCGCAATCTCCGCATTGGTCGCTACGCTAACCCTAGTTCAGACTTCCTTGGGCACCCGGGCTGTCATCCCGAGAAGAAAACGTAAGCGGCCGCGGACTTTGTGTTAGCTCGGGTACTAGTTCGGGACCGAAGCTTCTCTGCCGCCTCAATCACGTCGGCGTGCGGTCCCGCAAAGCACACCAACGGCACCACTCGGCATGCACTAATCGTTCGATCGACACCGTCCGCACTCCAACACTGGTAAAATGTCTCGCTTGATCTTCGTACGCAATTCTGTGGTGCAGACGCAAAAGCCAACGGAAAGACCTTCGACGGGGATCCATATTTTACATCGACTTCTCGGCAAGCAAACGTGTCCGATGAAAAGAGAAGATCTGGCGAGCACCTGATTTCTCGAAAGGCATCCCTCTTTCATGTTCTCTGGGGCTGTCCTATTTAGGCCGCCTTAGAATCATACGAGCTTTCCGCGAACCTCTCCCACTACGAAGCGGGCCGTCATTCAAACCTCCGACATGGCCGAATTGAAGATCACCAGGGGGCACTCGTGTGTCCCATGCCAAAACCGCAAGATTAGATGCAATGGGCATACTCCATGCACATATTGTATCAAAACAGGCAAAGACTGCGTTAAATCTGCCCGCGGAAGCCAGAGCCGACCGAGGCCAACATCTGGTGGTCCGTCCGGCAGCACCGGGCAAGTCGTTGCAAACGGAGACGAGCGACGCTATGTTGAGGAGTAGGTTGACCGCAGTTATGGTCTTTTTTGTATGAGCTGACGATTTTGTTCTACAGCAACAAGCTATGGACGAGCCTCGGCGGTGAGGTATGCCAGATTGAGTCCTCCTGGCGATGGAAGTCGTTGCCCTACTAACGATACATCATAGCTAGGCCCCAGAAGCGCGAGCTCAGAGGACGAGAGGTCTTCAGCAAGACACTCGTCTCCACCCCAAATTAATCTCATTTTCGGTCACCAGCAGATGCAGTCCCCAGAGCTACTACACCCATCGCCTATCCAATCATTCAAGTTATGGCAGGTCTTCCTGAGTAACGTGCATCCTCTGACGAAGATCATCCATGGTCCATCTATGCAGGAAGAGGTTCTCAGAATGCTCTCAAATCCAACAGCAACCGATCGCTCAACGGAACCTCTCATATTCTCCATTTATCTTATCGCAGTTGTCTCCTTGACAGACGAAGAGTGTCGAAACCTTCTCGACGAGCCGAGAGAAAAGCACCTTGCGAGGTACCGGTACGCTACCGAGGTGGCATTGAGTAGAGTCGACTTCCTCAGGTCCACGAGCCTCAAAGTACTTCAAACATTCACAATTTACCTGGTAGGTCTGCGTTGATTTCTTGGTTCGATCTGTGCACATGAATGACCGGCTTGATGAAGCTCGCTCTCCGGTATCTCTGCGACAACGATATACTCTGGCTCATGACTGGCCTAGCCACCCGGATGGGCCAGAGAATGGGCCTACACCGCGAAACGTCCCTAAAGGGTCTCTCTCCTTTCGAAGCGGAGATGCGACGACGGGTTTGGTGGCAGATTATTATCCTGGATGGCCGAGCCGCTCAGGTGACTGGGGCTTCTATGAATCCGTCAGCCTTTCTCCTTGGTGACACCAACAAGCCTGTGAACGTCAATGATGGGGATCTCGTACCGTCTATGGGACTGCCACCCCCTCCATCCCCTATTACCACGGAGATGGCTTTCTGCTCCGTCCGAATTGAGATTGGAGCGTGGATGATACACCAAAAGACACTCCCTGGTTTCGGAACATCAAGTGACGGGAGAGCCAAGTTCCTGAAAGCTGTTGACGATCTTGAAAAGACGATTGAGCACGGGTACCTCAGGAACATTGACAAAGGGATTCCCCTGAACCACCTAGCGCTGAGCATGGCTCGATCCGCTATCTGCCAACTTCGAATATCGACTTGCCATCCCATGCGGCGCCAGGACAAAGACACAGAATTGAGCCCAGACCAAATAGAAATGCTCCTGGAAAATAGCATGGAGGTCATTCAATACGACATTGTGGCTCACACGACACCTTCGCTTCAACACTTCTTATGGCACGTTTCTAATTTCTTTCCCTTCGAAACGTTTGTCTTACTCGTCGGGAGCCTTCCCAGCTGCGCAAATAGTCAGCTCGCAGAGCGAGCATGGGATGTGATCAACCAAGTCTACGAGCACCACCCGTCATTCATTTCGAATCGATATGAGCCTTTGTATCGAGCTCTTGGAAATCTCACATGCAGGTCTTGGAAAAAGGCACAAGCCAACGGACAGCAACGCGGCTTCCCGCCATTAGCAGAACCGCCCTTCATGTCAAGCCTTGGGAGGGAAACGAGTACGGTCTTTTCCCAAGAACAGAATCTCGCATGCAATTCCACGACGGTTTCAGGCGACGGTGGGCCCCACACTCCGCACAGCGTCCCATCCAACGCTAGCTTTGATGGCGACAACAACGCTGTGATGACCGACTGGCAGCAGCTACCACAAGATGTCAATGATGGCTCATTTGCAATGGGACGTGAGGGTATGGATATGGATTGGGAGTTTTGGCAATATTTGCTAGTTGACAAGGTGCCAGGTGGGCAAGAACCATCGAAGGCAAATCCGTTATCGTTTATGGCCTATGATAATTGATAACCTCGACACTACCATTGGTAGATGTTGATCGAGGTGAAAATCTATATACAAGAATCGGAAATGTGACGGCACTGGGCGTAGCATGTGCCTCGAAAGGACATCCAAATGACGACGCTTGTGATGATGTTGTCTCGCTGCCTCCCTCGTATGCAGTGGTCGAAATGGAGAGGTCCGAATAGACTGACGTGATAAGTCCTGAGGGTTTGCTACCTAGCGTTAGCCGGGCTGTAATGAGGCCTTCGAACATGTCTAGACGAAGCTTACTTGATTGAGATCCCTAACATAGCCATGCTGATCACAGTCTAACGGGGGGTTGGCCAGCTTTTCTTTCCAGAGACGTACTTGGTGTCCTGTTTGCAACAGGTCCTCGGCTCGTTATCCGAGCTCATCATGCCACGGCCGGCGGAGTTGACTCAGGAGGGTGTAGAGACAACACATATCAATTGATTGGATCGTGCCGTCTTCTCAGTACTCGGGGGAGTAGTAGGAGAAGTCGTCGAGGAATGTATCTAATCTGCTTCTCGTACCGTTATACGGCGGCGGGGGGTATGGTGGATATGAAGGTGAGGAATATGGTGAATATGAAGGCGGGGAGTATGGCGACGGAGAGTATGGCGGAGGGGCATCAATGGGAATGACGCCCGGGTTGATTTGATAGCCAACCCCAGTCCGGTCGCCCGCGTCGCAATGGCAAGATCTCTGTAGAAGCCTGCGATGTGGTCGTGAGATTTTGCAGTTGAACAGAACGAAGGCGGCGGTTTCGACATCGCTCTTGATACCTGCAATGGCATTACCGAGCACCGTTCGAAGGCCCATGTTGATAGAATAGGGTGTGTGGTATTTGCGATGGAGGCTGTTAGCGGTGACAATGGTATGCAACAGAGGATTGTATGCGATAAATGGTTGGAAGAAAGAAAAGTGCACTTGCTGTTTAAGAGGAAAGAAATATATACCCAAGTCCCAATGAACAAAATGGTTTGAAACAAGTTGTATCCTTTCTCCTTAACGTAGCTCAACGCACAAGGTGGACAAGCTCTAGACAACCCTTCGTAGCCGCTTCCATTTTCTGCTAACTTAAAATGTCCAAGGTAGTACCGTGATAGCCATTTACCAAAGCATCACGGAAGCTTCTTCGTCTGACTGCCATTAGAATTTCCCGACACACAGCTTTCCGGATGAGCCTCAGAGCTTCGCAGAAGTCTCGCGTTTGACCAACGCCCTCAAGTCCTTTCGCAGAATCTTGCCAGAAGGGCTTTTGGGGATAGCATCTATGAAAATGACCCCGCCCCGCAGCTTCTTGTAGCTGGCAACCTGTCCCTCGACCCATTTAGCAATCTCCTCTGCCGAGATTTGGTTCTTATCCGCCACAACATATGCCCTGCGGAAGCTGTCAGTAAGGTTCTCTGTCAAGTAAAAGTTCGACCGCTACCAACCTTGGAAGCTCCGTCCCTTCTCCATCCACGCCAATGACTGCTGCGTCCTGAATCTTTGGGTGGGTCACCAACAAGGCCTCTAGCTCTGCCGGAGCAACTTGGAATCCTTTGTACTTGATGAGTTCCTAAATTTCATGTCGGTCAATATTCGATAACTGCGATAGTGATGGTATGCTGGATGAGGACCTACCTTCTTGCGATCGACGAAATAAAATTTGCCATCCTTGAACGAGAGTCTGTCGCCAGTGCAGAACCAGCCGTCGACGAAGGCCTCCTTATTCGCCTGCTCGTTCTTGTAATAGCCCTTCGTCACGATGGGTCCACGGCACCACATCTCGCCAGGTTCTCCAACCTCGACGTCTTTGCCTTCCTCATCCACCAGCCGAGCCTCGCAGTTCGCGACAATCGGGGAAACGCTGCCGGTATCGTCGGTCATATGTCGAGGAAGAATAGTAAAGCCGCCCGTTGTTTCGCTGAGGCCCCAAGTTTGGCCGAGGATTCCCTTGCCCTTTCCAATTTTTTTCTGCGCTTCTATTTGCGTTTCCCTTCCGAGCGCCGCTGCTCCAGTGAGCGCAAATTCAACAGAGTCAAATTGATCCGTGACGAGAGGAGACTTGGCGATCATGAGGTAGATGGGTGGTACGCTGAAGAATGTTGTGACTTTGTACTTCTTCATGTAACCGAGAAACTCTGGGAAGTTGAACTTTTTCATCCAGTAGACGACGCCTCCCATGAATGTCTGGTTCACGATGTATGCCTGCAGGCCTGAGATATGGGCTGCTGGAAGATGAGCGAGGGTAATGTACTTTATTCCGGGACCGGGACGTTTCGTGTAGTACTCGATAGTGGGCGTGGAGATGAACATTGTTTGGGCGATCATATTCGCGTGCGAAATCTTGACGGCCTTGGGGACGCCAGTGGTACCACTACTGTAGATGTAGCAACCGACAGTGTTCTCCAAAGTTGTCTGGTCCGTGACGCGTTCCCAGTCCAGCTGTTCCTTTGACAGCGGTACCTCCTTGTCTGTTTTAGCTTCAAAGAGCTTGAACTCGTGTGTGTCGCCAATGTAGAGAATGCGGCCTGCAGGCAGGCCGGCTGCCGTTCCTCCAGCGGCGGCTAGAGCTTTGAGATCAGGGCTGCAGATGACCATCTTGCTCTCGGTCAGGTTGATCTGGCGGGCGACTTCAGGCGGCGACGAAGATGGAGTTGACGCTGCCACGGACCCGCCGGCGGCCATGATGCCGTAGAAGACGGTCGGAGCCATGTAGTGGCCGGTGAAGATGACTTGAACGACATCTCCTTTTTGAATGCCATATTTATGGCGCAGGGTATGAGCAAGTTGTTTAAGGGTGGTCACCAAACGCCCCTTGGTGATAGACTTGCTTGGGTCTGCGGCCTCCGCGTGGAGGATGGTGTCGTCGTTGAGTCTCTCATTGGGATAATCTGAGACCGCGTTCAGTATCGAAGGCTGAAATGTCTACAGTAAGGCACGTGGGGCTTGTCGATGGTAACACATACCAAACAGAAACGTTAATAAATCGACTTTTGGAAGGTCAATTGTATCGGGAGATCGGTAGATGGTCTGGCCACCCCGCTTCTCAACAATTGTTGCCATTTTGAAATATGCTGTGAGTCTGTTTCCGTGTCTTGTTATTATTGTTTCCACTATGAGCAAAGCTGTATCATGTAAGCTGCGTTGCGTTCATGAACGAGGACTTGATGAGAAATCGTGGGGGGGGGGGGTGATGTTTTGACGAGGCCCAATCCGGCTGAATGGGAACAGTGAAAAGACAAAATAAAGTGAAGGCCCGCGCGGAACTGGCAATTGGCGGCGTTCGGAGAGGGGCCAGTGCACGCGGAATGAAGAGAGCTTGGGGATGTGACGTGAAGTAAGTTGAGTTGAAGGGGGTCTGACCGAGAAATGAGAGTGTTGGTGAATCGCAGCCTCCGACTCGCTTCCCCGCATTATTCTTATCAAGATTGGGGGCTGGCTGCGTTATGGGTCTCCTCACCCGCGAAGGCCGTGACAAGCCGGCGCCCTGCGCTCCCTTGCATCGACTCAGACCGTGTCTGCCGAGGTCATGGAGACGTGTCAGTGGTTACTTGTTGGGGTAACCCCTTCATTAGCGCGTTCCTATTTTGTGTTCCTTGGCTGCGGGGGAACTCCAGCATGTTGAGGGCCCGAGAACCCGAGCCAGCATTTTCGGCGGTGACTGGCGTCCGGGGTGGATGTGCGGGGAAATTCCGTGGAGGTTATGTACGATCCATGCATGGGCGACAAATTCATGGCCCATTTCCTGTTCATTAGTGCTAGGAACGCAATGATCTGCTATCTAGCCGAAGGTTCAGAATTCTTTTAAGGGGTTCTGCTCGGGGCGACGAATGAGCCCAGGCTCGGCATATTACAACT